AGGCAAAGCTAATCCGATTACGTACTTTGACGCTATAATAGAGCCGTGAAATCCATGCACCCCCCCAAAAAAACATGGCCTTTGAACGTTATGTTTCTCAGAAAATATGCTCGGTATGATTGAAATGTTAAATTATAACGGAAGACGACACTTCATCGATGCCGAAACGTCAATACTGGTTACTGGTAAAGCTGACCTTCAATTCTGGAAGAAATCGTTCATGGGGGGGGGGGGCGTCATGTAGATCAATGATAATTTGTTTTAGAAACTCAAAATCTCAGTGGGGGGGGGGGGGGGGGCGACTGGGGGGGCGACAAGGTTTCATTGGGGGGCTGTCGCCCCCCCCCCCACAATCGGCTTAATTCGGCTGAATAGAACAGCAATAAGATTCCGGAGGTTTTTTTTGGGGGGGGGAGGAGGGGGGTTGCAACTCGAAAATAGGGTACGCTTTAGGAGACTCAATTTCTGAAGTAGGGCACTCAACGATTTTAAATAATACCAACGCTGCGGCTGCTCCTTTTAGTCCAATAAATTCTGAAAAGGTAGGAGATTCACGGGGGGGGGGGGGGGGGGGGGGTATGGGCCTCAAGTGGAAGAGGGCCATTTTTCAGATACGCCTCAGGGGAAGCCCTTGGTATATATAATTGCTATTGTTTGATTGGCTTTTGCTACATTAACAAACTATTTAGAATAATTCTTTTTTTATGTTATTGCGAGGACGAAAAATCAGTCCAAAGCCGTTAAACATCCATTTCGAGTGTGAAACCGAAAAAAGATGTAATATTCATGCTTTTTACCTATATAGCGACATGAAAGTTATTCACTTTTAAATGGGACATCGATCGAAGTAGTCCACCTATATAGCGACGTGAAAGTTATTCACTTTTAAATGGGACATCGATCGAAATTAGTTATTGAATTGTTTTCTTCATCAAGTTTGAATTATTTGCGGCTCGACAATGATTCGGCTTTTCGAGGGCGGGTTCATTTACGCGCAAAACAGAAACTTCCTTTTGCGAGGGCTGCAGACTCCTCAAATCGGAAACAAAGCTGTTTTTCCTGAACACAGTAACATACAAATTCAAATTTCGTTAGGGGAAAAATTAAGAGCACAGGCATACTTCTGTAACTTTTTTAATGAATGGGTCAAGTTCTACCTTAGGAAATACAATTATTTAATTAAGAGGACTTTACCAGTGCATTCAAATAATTACAAGGCTTTGCAGATTATCATGCATGGATATAGCCGACGCCAAGTGAAGATCCCAGGGATCCAAAGCGTCTTGGATGATGTACCAGCAGGTTTCTCCCCTGAAATTATAAGGGAACTAATAACTGCATTGGAATTTTTGTCCTTGCATTTTATAATGCGGGATAGCGAGGAAAAGAGGATATTGTCACTTGTGTAGGGCCGGGGGGGGGGGGGGTGGAGAACAAGATAGTCCAAGTCATTTTATACTGTTTATTTTTCTGAATTTTTGACAAAACTGCAAAAAGGGGCCTTAAAATGTCAGATCCGTGCTCTAAGATACGTCTCCGTTTACAGTTGAACAGCGCCCCAAGTGTCAAATAATCATAGCTGCCTCTGGACAAAGTTCCGGCGACCCTCATGCCGATGGGAGTGGGAAGGGTTCAGGGTGATTCGAAGAAACGGGAAATGGTGTAAATGAAACACAATGAAGTAGATATTATGTGTTTCTGTGTTATTTTCCCATGTCACCATCCAAGGTGGGTTTCATGAACAGTTTCTCTTTCATTACACATGCCTGCATATCACAGATAACTTGAACATTACAATAGTTCGTAGTACGCCCTTGTCGATAATAACACACAGTTCACATGAAAGATAATATGCCAATGCCAGATACGTCACAAAACGGGACTTATACAAAACGGTGTGGGGGGGGGGGGGGTCTCAGCTGAGTATGTAGTGTAAAATACTTTGTTTTAATATTAACTGTAAAGTCGAAACGATTAGTTTAGAGTTACTGGTTTCATGGTAAATATTTCCAAAATTACCTTTTACTGATAAGAATAATTATAGGAAATGACTTTTAATCAACTCTTGTGACATAGAAGACGTGTCTTTTCATTACACAATGACTAGATTAAATTGTAATTTTGTCCTTTGCCTCTGATAGTCCAACACAGAAACCCTTTCAGGGTGTATGCATGTCATCAAAGGTCTCAAATTATTATTATAGGGACCAGTCCTTACCAAAATATCCACAGATTCTGTTGGAGTTGCAATTATTTTCAAGCAATATGAACATGAGGTAACGTATCTAAAGAGTATTTGAAATGTGGTGGTCACTACTTGCGTAGTTCCTGGACTGTCGATGTGTGTACAGCAACGGGGGTAGGGATCTGAATCCCTGGTCAGGCGACGGCAGGGAGGCAGGCTGATAGGACACCCACAGAAAACTCTGACTCAATCAGTTTCAGCAACTCAATTTATTCTGTCATGGTCATGTGTCTCCCAACAAGACTCCACTCAAAAAGACTCCAATAAGACACCTCTTAAAAAAGACACCTCTAGAAAAGACACCCTAAATAAATAAATAAATAAAAGATTCACAAATACATGTACATGTATAATGCACATGTGCATACAATACATTGTGATTACAATGCGAGTACAATACATGTGCACCATGTCTACATGTACTTCAATGCATGTATGGGTGTGCATAGCACTACACACACTAAACGAAATACAACGAACACACACATTATGCAAAGTTAATGTATCGTCAGACCCCCTAAAGCTACGCACTCCTATTTCTGCGCATTCGCCTTTAACCATAAAGGGGCCGGGTGGGCGGAATCCGCCCCCCTCGACTTTTTCCGCGATAGCCTTTAAAATATTATTGTTTTCGCAACCCGAGCTGTTATGACTTTTTAGCCTCAAGCCTTGCGCATCTTTTGATACCAAAAACATAAAAATCAGACCAGGGGTTGTCGCGCAGCGAAATTTTTTCCGGCGCTATGCGCCGTGAAAACTGAATTTTCCCATATACGTCGTGTACACAGACCAGAATTACCATTCGTACATATGAAAAACTAATTAGCCATATTTCAAAAATCCTTTGACCTATAGTCATGAAATTTCTTGGGTATCTTTATGAAGAGTTGCTCTATGCATGTACAGAGTTTCAAAAATTTTCGTCACTCGATGGCCAAGATCTTACGGGGGGGGGGGGGGGCGGCACCCCCGGCTGAGAGATGGTCAAAATAACCCGGCCCCTTTAGGGTTAAGTTATATTTTGCAAGGCGTGCATCCTAAAAAATGACATACTTTCACTGGGATCGTATCCTCCGATGCAAGAACTTTTAACCAGCAGCCGAAAAAAAAATGTGGAAATTGAAGGCTTTACCTGGAATTCAGGCAAACAATGAAGTCTAAGTTATTTTTAAATAAAAATGTTTATATTGAGTTACATGGCCCGGACAGCACATATTTTTTAATGAAGCTTCCCCTGCGCGGAATTAGGCAGGATTCATTTCTACAACGCTGAAACTGCACGCTTTGGAATTCCCCTGCTTGCTGCCCCAAATAAAGAGATGTTGCTTTGTTAATTGGTACGGTAGATGATCGTAAGCCAACAATATAAGTTTTGTTGAGGAAAAGAGTGTTTGCTTTGCTATTTTTAAGCTACTGGGTTGCAAAGCCCTATCTGTGCAGAAATAGGAGGATTGAGGATACATTTCGACGAGGTAAAACGAGTCGAAAATAACATAAAACAAATGACTTTTAATCAGGCGCGGATCCGGGGGGGGGGGGGGATTTGGGGGTCAACCCCCCCCCCCATCTGTGTCAAAAAAAAATATACCATACAAATTCTTAAAAAATAAGTTCCCCCCCCCGTGACACCGCTAAAAAATTATACTGGTATAATGTCCGCCTGTTCAAAATAGGGTACACCATTCTGTAATCTAGTGTTAATAATCGTCGAATTTGAACAGCACCCCCTATTGTAATATGGTAACCCCCCCCCCCCAGTTTTTGATTGTACGGAGGCCAAGTGTCCAGAGAAAAAAACCTGTGCACATTTTCAGATTTTTTTGCTTATGAAACACCCCCCCCGCGAAAATTCCTGGATCCGCCCCTGTATACATGGGCGTCGCGAGGGGGGGGGCAAGGGGGGGGCACTTGCCCCCCCTGGAAAAGCAAAAAAAAAAAAAAAAAAAAAAAGGAAGAAAAAAAAGGGAAAAAAAGAAAAGAAAAAGAGGCGCGAAGACAAAGTGCTGTAAATTTAATGAGTTGGGGGGGGGGCAAAATGTCCCTGCCCCCCTCTAAAACTGATAAATCGAGAATGTGTTGAGAAATACAAGCATTTTTTGGCAAAATTTTTTTTTTGCCCCCCTCTAGAAAAAATCCTGGCGACGCCCATGCCTGTATAATTCGTGTCTCAACTCACCCACTCTAGGGTATTCAAAGGTAATACTACAGTATGTCTTTCTCCAAACTGCCCGGTTCAAATACAAGACAAGACCGATGAAAATGAGACCAGTAGTTGTGAAAAGGTACATGGAAAATGTGCTTGTCCTTGTATCCACTACAGAAAGTCTTAACTTTAAGGATTTCTGATGACAATTCTGGTGTCGTTAAAGATCATCGCTTCATTGGGTTTTTTTTCGAATGGTTTATTGATATTTTGTCATTTTTTGGACCAAAAGTGAAGGTTTTTTTAGGAGTCATATGAAGTTTTTTGATGAGTCATCAACCAAGAAACCACGATCAATAGACAAATCCATTAAGCCCCGCCCACTGAGCACGCGGGCAACAACACGTGACCCCATCCAACGTGCCAACCCGTGCGTCAAACGCACGCACACGCATGGTGGACTTTAGTGCACGCATGTCAGTCTTAAATCGCAGCTGTGATTGGTCAAGAAATCGTGGGTGGGGCTCAATGGATCGGTGTTTCAATGGAGTTCACATCTTATAATTTTCAGCCAATCACGAACGTCTGCTGATACCACTCTCACGCTATCGGTCCTTCGTTACCACTATCGTAAGCTCTGCACCGTCCATTTACATCTCCAAAAAGTATAAAAAGTCTGTCTCGTTCTTCGAATAGTCATTCCGGCGATTGTCGTCAACTAGCAAGCTTATCTCTACATCAGGAGCACAACAGCGTCAACTTCATGTAAGTAACTTACTTTGTGAGTAATTTCAATCCATCCTTCCTAATTTTCACGGCTATTACGCGTACGAAGCGACAGTTTACATTGCGTTAGCCTGTGTGTAGATGCCAAACGCTCGTCTTACAGACCTGTCACATACAATACATGACTCCATAAGAGTTACCAGTAGGTTTCTGGTTCGTTCAACTGGTTTCAACTGGTTCCCATTGATACCAACATAATTACCCGTTATTACTGGTTTGTTCAGTTTTTTTCAACTGGTTCCTGTTGATTTCATCAGGATTACTAGTTATTACAGGTCTGTTCAGTTGGTTTCAACTGGTTCCTGTTAATGTTGAGTCCATCAGAATGACCAGTTATTGACTGGGTTGTTCAGATCGTTAAGCTGACATTCGTTCATAGTCCATGGGACGAGGCCTTTTTTTCGCTCGCCACGCGGTCTGGTTCGCCGAATTTTATAAAACTTCACAGACATGTAGATTATGGTGTATCATATCGAAAAAAACTTTGTTCCCCGATCCACAGTTTGTTCGGGAATGAGAAAATCTGGGATAAAAACGCCGAAAATTCTACATGAGAAAAAAAAGAAGAAACAGCGCCCCCTATTGACACAGTCAGAAACCTTTTCTCACTCCATGGCTGTCCGACTCCGAGTTCGGGCCGGCGGTCTGTTGTCAAGTTGACGCGAATATTATTGTTCTCGCGCTCGACGGCGAGAACACGACCCACGAGCACTGTACTCGGAGCAGGATCTCACACCATGCCCCTATCCGTCGTTGTTTGTAACTATATACCCGTGTCAAGAACAAGACCCGCCCAAACTCGGCCAATGCTAAATGACACTTCTTTCATATATTTAATATATTCTAGATTTTTGTTATTTGTCATCGGGATACCAAAATATCTTCGTTACAGTTTTGTCCAACACAGTGGCGCAGCCAGGATTCTTTTGGGGGGGGGGGGCAGGAACATTTCATGGGGGGCGTTATGTAGATCAATGATAATTTTTTTACAAACTCAAAATCTCAGTGGGGGGCGACTGGGGGGCCCCCCCCGCCCCCCCCCCCCCCCCCCCCCGGCTACGCCACTGGTCCAACATGAAATGATCACGCTTTACATTTAAGATCGAATGTTTACAGGTTATGTATTAGCTGAACATCGATTGGTATGGTTAAACCACAGATCAGAATAATTTTGTGAACTCTTATCTCAGGGTAACATGTTTTCAAAAATAATATAAGTGCGTGGCATCTGGTGGAGCATCTGAACTTCTGAACCATCTCTAAGAAATGTTATTCCTGAAATTTAAAAAAGTAATGCAAATTTGATGCAGCCTCAAAAAGGAAGCGGGTGGACCGTTGGGTTATTTGTGGTTTCACGGACAGAGCAACAACAAAATAAGGAATCGGTTCTTAAAACAAGATTCAAAATAATAAAATCGGTTAAACGGTTTCAGCTTAAACAAATTGCAGTGGTAATGCTGCAGTGCCTCTCACAGCTTCCAAATAGGGGAATATACATTCATTTTCTCAGACAAAAAAGTGGGTCCTTCAATTTGATGAGGCTTTTGATATGTTAAAAGTTATACAACAATTATCTAACCGGCCTGTACATGTGCTCATAATCTCGTTTTGGTCAGTTAAAAATAAACAAGTAATTAATGCTCATTCAGTACAGATTGAACAAATCTATGTAATCTAAATACCATTCTTCTTGTGTATACGGGTGGGTAACAACTGTGCAGGTTTACATCCCCCAACAAAAAGAATAAATTAATAAATTATGAGTGGATGAAATTAGATTATGTAGGTTTCCCCGGCTATGTTAAAACGTTTATCATTCGAATTCACCGTTTCTAATATTCATATTCGCCCATCACTGTCGATTTAGTGCACTTCCAACGTTTAATTTCGTCTTTTGTGTGACAGTATAAAATTCAGTTCAAGCAATTCAAACAACAATTGATGCCCGATGCAGGTATGGAACGAGTACCGTTCTTGTTGTGTATATTTGTATTATTCTGGGTTACCGTATCTTTATGCAGTCAAGATGAAGGCTTATATCTGTTTGGTCGTTCTGGTGTGCCTGGGCTCTGTCCTCTCGGCTAAAACTAATGAAGGTAACATTTCCTTTTTTCCCCTTCTTTTTTAAGCTTCAGTCCGTCATTTCTTTTTTTGAGAGAGTGCCTCCCTCCGACCATAATCAAATCCCCGTGCTAATTTGTGTTTCACCCCGAACACTCCCATTGTTATTTTCCGTGGAGTCGAAGAAACATCAAAATCGACCGACGTTTAGTTGATTGAATTGTTGATTTAAAAGGTTGGACTTATTTGCGGCCCCACAATGACAAGGGCGGATCCAGAACACAATTGTTTTTGGGGGGGCCAAAAAAAAAATTGTGTCTCTTAAAAAGTGTCTCAAAAAATTACGGCGTGGGGTTCGGGGCCCGCCTAAGGGCCCCACAATTTTTTGGATTCTCGATGCTCTGTGGTGCGATCTGAGGCAATTTCTGACCACTTTAGCCAATGTTTTTTGAGGAAAAGATGGTGGTGTACTCATTGCCTGCCTTTATTGCGACGTCACATAAAAAAACAAACAATTGGCTTCGGGTTTTTTTTGGAGGGGGGGCATGGCCCCCTTTGGCCCCCCCGGATCCGCCCTTGCACAAAGTAAGTCGGTTCCATGGCGCTACATTAATTTAAAATGTAGCTGTATGGTCGCTTCTGATTGAAGATGGCCAAAATGAAAAATAGAAGTAGTTTTCCCGTTAATTGAAAGCAAAATATTAAACATGAATTTTAGAATTGAGCATGTTCCCTGTCACATTCTTTTCCCGTACAGCCTAGAATATTGGGGGCCCTGGAATTGGTTATGGTATTGGTATTGTTTTATTTCCATACATCACATTATACAGTTGTTTACAAAAATTGCACAGTGGGTGATCAATGGCAAATACCAGGCAAAAAGCAAATGCTTGGACGTGGGCTGGTTCCGTATTTTACACATTGGCGTACATGTACAACAACTATAATAACAAGGTACAAAAGAGAAAAAAAATACAAAAGGTCACTGACTGAAAGTACAGCTGAATTCCAGAATATAACAAGGATGCTATAAACTCATGACAGTCGTTATGGTAAACAACAGGATGTTTTTGTTACCAAGTTCCAATCATTATTCCACAATGATGACCGTAATTGACTTCCCTTGAAACCAATGGAACACCTTTTTAATAGAATCATTGGAAACCAAAGCTGTGTCCCGTTTCCTTTTTGAAGAACACGGGGCACGCATTTCTTTTTGAAGTTATTCCCTTTTAACCGATGCAGCTTAGTTAAACGACATCTATTTAACATTACGATGCAATCCGCCAATCGGGCCAGTACAGTAGTAAAGTACTGACACATTGGTCAATCGACCATGTTCCAGTAAAGATCCTTGTATATAATTATAATGTGTAAGATTTAGCGTTGTGATTTGTTTTATCTAAACTGACGCACTGACCAGCAATGAAATAATTGTTCCGCCTCTCTTTCCTTTCAGCCGACGAGGTTGTTGTGAAACAATATCTAGGAGCGCGTAAGTTTCTGCAGTTGATTTATTCTTAATTTCGAGCTAATTAATCAGATTTAATGTTCACATTAAACACGCTGCCAATGTATTGATGCACAGTGTTATCGTGTGGTAACACTAACATTTCGTATCCAACTGCTTTATTTTCAGCCTGTGGTTTTGATTCTCCACCTTGCGATCCCGGCTTGACCTGCATGCCATGGGGAAGGTGCGAGTTTACTCGCAAGAGAATGGCAAATGTTGAAGGTAATTTTTACTTCTTCCGAAAAGTTGACTCGACAGTCGTTATAATTTTTTTTTCCGGAAGGGGGGGGGGGGGCTGTTTCAATCAATCAATCAATCAATCAATTAATCAATCTTACTTTATTTACCACATAGCAATACAAAGCAGTATGTCAAGACAATCATAAGATCACAATAATGTGGATGAGGGTCTCAAAAAAGCAAAGCTTGTCGAGTAGTGACCCCACTTTTGTTAAATAGATGTCGTTCAACTTAGGCCAAAAAAAAGTCTCCGGTTTTTGGTATGAAGCTTGCCCCAAAAAGTGGTACGGCGACGCGGCTTTTCCCCCCGTTTTTTTCTCAATGCCGGCTGATGACTGCAAATGGTGCCCGACTACATTTAGTGCAATGGGAGTCCCTAGAGGCTACATAAAGCTTATACTCGATCGTAACCCCATCTAAAAACACGTTAAAATTGTGCTGCAGCAGGATTCCAGTCAAACCAGTGAGTTTGGCAGTTTTGAGACATCATCTTACATTGGCAAAAAAACTTTTTCATTTTGCCGACGTGACGCGCATGGCTACGGCGACGCGTGCGCATACCAGAAACCGGAAACTTGTTTTGGCCTTAGCTAGTGAGCCCACGTAATGATATATTTCGTTCAACTTAGCTGCACCCGTTGAAGGAAATAATAATTTCAAAAAGAGGAAAATTTGTCATTCAAAACTGCATTTTACTGTAATTGACTTACCTCGAAACCGATGTAACACTTTTTTAATAGAATCATTGGAAAGCAATGCTGTGTCCCGTTTCCTTTTTGAGGAGCGCGGGGGACACATCTGTAACGCAGTGAACATAAAAAGTGAAGAGTCAACATGTTGTCCGTCTATTGCTCGTCAGCTCAAGCGGCGAAGTTTCTAGGATTATTTTCCTCTTTTTGAAGTTATTCCCTTTTAACCGATGCAGCTTAGTTAAACGACATCTATTTAACATTACGATGCAATCCGCCAATCGGGCCAGTACAGTAGTAAAGTACTGACACATTGGTCAATCGACCATGTTCCAGTAAAGATCCTTGTATATAATTATAATGTGTAAGATTTAGCGTTGTGATTTGTTTTATCTAAACTGACGCACTGACCAGCAATGAAATAATTGTTCCGCCTCTCTTTCCTTTCAGCCGACGAGGTTGTTGTGAAACAATATCTAGGAGCGCGTAAGTTTCTGCAGTTGATTTATTCTTAATTTCGAGCTAATTAATCAGATTTAATGTTCACATTAAACACGCTGCCAATGTATTGATGCACAGTGTTATCGTGTGGTAACACTAACATTTCGTATCCAACTGCTTTATTTTCAGCCTGTGGTTTTGATTCTCCACCGTGCGATCCCGGCTTGACCTGCATGCCATGGGGAAGGTGCGAGTTTACTCGCAAGAGAATGGCAAATGTTGAAGGTAATTTTTACTTCTTCCGAAAAGTTGACTCGACAGTCGTTATTATATTTTTTTTCCGGAAGGGGGGGGGGGGCTGTTTCAATCAATCAATCAATCAATCAATCAATTAATCAATCTTACTTTATTTACCACATAGCAATACAAAGCAGTATGTCAAGACAATCATAAGATCACAATAATGTGGATGAGGGTCTCAAAAAAGCAAAGCTTGTCGAGTAGTGACCCCACTTTTGTTAAATAGATGTCGTTCAACTTAGGCCAAAAAAAAGTCTCCGGTTTTTGGTATGAAGCTTGCCCCAAAAAGTGGTACGGCGACGCGGCTTTTTTCCCCGTTTTTTTTCTCAATGCCGGCTGATGACTGCAAATGGTGCCCGACTACATTTAGTGCAATGGGAGTCCCTAGAGGCTACATAAAGCTTATACTCGATCGTAACCCCATCTAAAAACACGTTAAAATTGTGCTGCAGCAGGATTCCAGTCAAACCAGTGAGTTTGGCAGTTTTGAGACATCATCTTACATTGGCAAAAAAACTTTTTCATTTTGCCGACGTGACGCGCATGGCTACGGCGACGCGTGCGCATACCAGAAACCGGAAACTTGTTTTGGCCTTAGCTAGTGAGCCCACGTAATGATATATTTCGTTCAACTTAGCTGCACCCGTTGAAGGAAATAATAATTTCAAAAAGAGGAAAATTTGTCATTCAAAACTGCATTTCACTATAATTGACTTACCTCGAAACCGATGTAACACTTTTTTAATAGAATCATTGGAAAGCAATGCTGTGTCCCGTTTCCTTTTTGAGGAGCGCGGGGGACGCATCTGTAACGCAGTGAACATAAAAAGTGAACAGTCGACATGTTCTCCGTCTATTGCTCGTCAGCTCAAGCGGCGAAGTTTCTAGGATTATTTTCCTCTTTTTGAAGTTATTCCCTTTTAACCGATGCAGCTTAGTTAAACGACATCTATTTAACATTACGATGCAATCCGCCAATCGGGCCAGTACAGTAGTAAAGTACTGACACATTTTAATGGACATTCGACCATGTTCCGATAGAGATCCTTGTCATTATATGTGTAAGATTTAGCGTTGTGATTTTTTTTTTATCTAAAATGACGCACTGACCAGCAATAAAATAATTGTTCCGCCTCTCTTTCCTTTCAGCCGACGAGGTTGCTGTGAAGCAATATCCAGGAGCGCGTAAGTTTCTGCAGTTGATTTATTCTTAATTTCGAGCTAATTAATCAGTTTTAATGTTCACATTAAACACGCTGCCAATGTATTGATGCACAGTGTTATCGTGTGGTAACACTAACATTTCGTATCCAACTGCTTTATTTTCAGCCTGTGGTTTTGATTATCCAATGTGCGATCCCGGCTTGACCTGCATGCCATGGGGAAAGTGCGACTTTGCTCGCAAGAGAATGGCAAAATATTGAAGGTAATTTTTGCTTCTTCCGAAAAGTTGACAGTCGTTATATTAATGGATGCGGGTCTCTAAAAAGCAAAGCTTGTCGAGTAGTGAACCCACTTTTGTTAATGGCGTTCAACCTAGGCTAAAAAAGTCTCCGGGTTTCTGGTATGAAGCTTGCCCCAAAAAGTGGTGCAGCGACGCGGCTTTTTTCCCCCGTTTTTTTCTTCAAATGTCGGCTGATGTCTGCAAATAGTGCCCAACTAAATTTAGTGCAATGGGAGTCCCTAGAGGCCACATAAAGCTTATACTCGATCATAACCCCATCTAAAAACATGTTAAAATTGTGCTGCTGCAGGATTCCAGTCAAACCAGTGAGTTTGGCAGTTTTGAGACATCATCTTACATTGGAAAGATAAACTTTTTTTCATTTTGCCGAAGCGCATGGCAAGGGCGACGCGGGCGCATACCTGAAACCGGAGACTTTTTTGTTTGGCCATAGCTAGTGAGCCCACGGAATGACAGATATAATCGTTCAACTTAGCTGCACCCGTTTAAGGAAATAATAACCTCAAACAGAGGAAAATTTGTCATTCAAAACTGCATTTTGGTGTAATGGACTTACCTTGAAACCAATGTAACCTAGTAGACTTCCTTACCTCCCTACGTACAGAGGGAGTCCACGATATTAAGTGCCCAAAACAATAATTTTCTTTTTTTGAGTCGTATTACACAGAGGTCTAAGAACCTGGACGTCAGTCGTAATGCAATGAAGACAATCGTCCAACCTGGGCTAGATTTGACACCATTATAGACATTTAACATTCCTGTACTAGTTTCTGTGCATGTGATTTCTAGCACTGACATTTTAAGCAAGTTCAAAGGACGTAAATACCAAAAACGGTTTTATTTTTTTCCTATTTTTTTTCATCCAACGAGTTTGGTGTGAGCTTAACAATGAAATAATTTTTTATTTTCTCTTGTTTTGGTCTTCATTTCAGATTCCAAATGCCAGCAGCCTTGGGATGATGAAGTCGCAATTGATTATTTATTACGGTGTAGGGATTAAGTTGTATTGTCTTTGCCTTGTTCGAGTTAAATGAGACTTTTTGCATCTACATGTAATTGAAATTCCCACAAGGAATAAAAGTTGACAAAGCTAACTCCCGTGAGTAAATTAATGACATATTTCTCGATTACTATTTAATCTGATCCTAGTCTGAATCTTTATCTGGAAATGAACAACAACACCCGATGGGTGTCACGATTGTGAAGCTACCACTGCGAGTTTCTCTGACACAACTTCCTTCTTTGCATCGCATTTATTTATCATGTTGTCTTGTTATTACATAGGCCTTTCTTTACAGCTTGCTGAAATCAGTTGTCACTTACAAGATATTATACAGTGAATTATGAAGACTTAAAACTGACCTGTAGGCAGATGAGAAAAATCATACGCTATATCTGAACTAAACAAAAGCATGAAAAGTCGTTCTGGGTGGTGGGTCTTAATTATTGTAATCACACTTTTAAGATTTCTGTTGAATAAATGCTGTTGGCATGGTATGAGCTCCTGCGACCAAAGTTATCTCTTCGTAGCCTGTTATTTTTTTGTCGGAATTGAAATGTCCTTTTTAATGCAGAAACCGTAGAAGTTAGCAAAGAACTTGAAATATGTGCCTTGAAGCATCTAATCGCTATCTTCGAGCATAATATCTCCAGTAAAATATCTTCACTCTATCTAAAACGTCCCGGGTCAGATATGCATGTCCTGCGGAATGCGGGTCATATAAGACTAAGTGATACTACTTCGGGTCAAATTGACAATTTTCCGGGTCAAATGGTCCGAAAAATGATCCAGAGAAGTGTCATTTCGACCTGGAAAAGTGTCACTTTGACCCGGAAAAGTGTCACTTTGACACGGAAAAGTGTCACTTTGACACGGAAAAGTGTCAGTTTGACGGGATTTAATCTGACTCGGGATTTTTCAGAGTGTTAAACCATTTTAATATCACTTTGTTTAATAAATATCACAATGTCCTTCAAGGATGTAGAACCGTATAAGAGAACAGATTTCATCGGAGTCCAAGTTTCATACGACACCGGAAAATTACCTCAACAGTTTCTTCATGAATAAGTCATCTATCCCCCACCCGCCTGCCTTACTCCGATTCAAATCGAAGTGAAAAGAAACTATACAAACCTCTATGAAAAGGCCGTTAGTTGGGGTTAAACGCTTGTGCGTGCACACCAGACTAGGACTAACCCATCCTCCGAGCTCATGAATAAAAGTTATACCCTCAAAATATTCTATATTAGAGAGTTCTGAGAGCCATAAAATAGGGGAATTGAAGAGATATGGCAATGAACCTCTTGCCCGGACTATGGGATTCAAATTCTGAGCATTTTTGATGCAATTGGGCTCGAATTTGGCGTTAGTTTTCCGTGTTGTGGAGGGCAGGAGGGATTGGTTTTCAAGATGGCTACTTTTCCGCTTTGGGAAAAATAGGGTGTTGGGGTGAGAATTTCTCGAAAAGTCAATTTGCATCCCACCACAAATTAAAAAAAAATGAAAGATGAAATGTTGATCATCACGTTTCTGTTCAGCTTTAAAAGCTGGGAGAGTTTTCAGTATTTTAACAGGAATGTTGAAGTATGGGCATTTAGCACTAGTATCGAGGGGAACTTTAATACAGGGGTGCATCATTGTACCATAATCTGTACGGAAACGCAATGCATTCTGGGCTGCTTACTGTGGGAGACTTTGGTGTGCAAGGGTCATGCACACACGAAAAAGCTGACCTGCGTCAGCTGGCAAAAAAAAGCTCCAATGTGAGATGAGGACGCGTTGAACCTTTTGAGAATTTTAATTCGGTTTTCATTTACCTTAAAAAATAGGACAGAGATTGAGGAGCATAGGTCAGACATTATAGTGTTTGCGGAATCAAACACGCTAGCTTCGAAATAACAGACAGATACTGTTCCAAATGACCTACTCAGCCCTGTTCGCGAGGTGTCTTACACAGAGCGTTAAGTAAATGTAAAGTCGTCTTTTACTAACTTCAACCAGAGACAAGGAACGCTTAGTAAAGTCTATTCAATGGATTCAGAACATGAATAGTGGGAAACTGTTCATGCACGTGGCCTTGGTGAGACTTCAGAACAGTAACTCGGTCAATCAGGGAGCTAGTTAGTCAGTGAGTGAGGCGGTCAATCAATCAACTCAGTGAGTTAGTTCGTCAGTCACTCGGTCAATTAGTCAGCCGGGCAGTCAGTCAGTCAGTCAGTCAGTCGGTCGGTCGGTTACATAGGTACGAAGGTGATACTCGGCTGGCCCTCTTGGACCAGCCAAAAAAATATTCTTTAAAAAGGGTGGTAGGGTCAAAGGCAAACTCTAACCCTATCTGTTAGCTATTCAACCGTTAATCTAATCCCAAACTGACCCTAAAAAATCCTGTCCTTTCAATCCTCAACAGATAACCCGTACCCCAACTTTCACTGCTTCCGTCAAAACAATTAGTTATCAGTCGATTTTTTTTGTCCATCCCTTTGGGCGCACTACACGCTTCTTCATCTAATCGCATCCACAGTCATTGTTCCCAAAGCAAATTCTAGGAAGCATTCATCCAGCTTCTTCCCGCGCACTGCCCAACTATGGAACTCGATCTTTACCTGCCTGTCCTAGTTCAAGTGTAACGTGAATACTTATCTTACTAGACCTACTTGAAGTATTACTTATTTTCCCTTTTTTATCCATTCTATGTGTAGCCCTAGCTCACTTTGAGTGGCTCTTGGATAGGTGTGATGGATGACTCTCATTAAAAATGGTCCTGTTGGCAAGCTTTCAACGCTAGCAGTCTTCCTAAAGAGTGCAGTGTGCTTTACATATTGCCTTAATAAGGGCCCTGTCACACTTCTGCGTATCCTAATTCCTTATGAGTTGCGCATTGACATTTGTTTCATACGCAGTCGTACGCACAATACGCACCTCATATGCATCTCTATCGTTTCGTGTAAGTTTTATGTACGCAGGCATACGCATGGTACGGCCCAGTACGCTGGATAGTTTTGGGCATGCACAAAACTACGCTACGTACGCTGTTACGCAGGTCATAAGTTATAACTACGCAGCGCATCGGTCCCGCATCGGTCGAGCACGGTACGAGTACGCTATGTGTTCGTGGGGGATAAGCGGTTCATACGCAGTAATACGCTGACCTCCCGGCACGCACCCCGTCAGCATGATGAGCCGCCTATATTGGACGTATACATAGCGTACATGCAGCGCAGATACAACGCACGCTGAACGAACTCATAGCGAATGCCGACGTATTGCGTCAGGCATGCGGTCGGCATAAGTCGGGTGCGTCCGGAATACGCTCAGCATGCGCACTGCATACTGACCTATTCGCAGCCCGAAAAATAATGTTGTGCACTGCATACGCAACTCATACGAATCTCATACGCAATGGATGCGCTGAATTTGTTACTTGTACGCTAGATGTGCGTCGCACATAAGTCAAAGTATTCAAAAAATTTCGACGTTTTGAGCGTACGGCTGCGTATTGAAAAATTTTGACAAGGAACTCATATGGAATTAGGATACGCGAAAGTGTGACAGGGGCTTTTATAAGTGAGTGCGTCAGCTTTTCTTGTTAGTTTGCGATAATGCTGACGAATTATCAGTCCACCCTTTTTCTTTGATTCAAAGACATTTGGGCATCTCAGACAAGAGACTTTAAATCTCTGTTTTACCTTTGAAGAAGGATTCCTCGAAAATGGGAGGGGGGGGGGGTTCACAACCGTGCAGATACCGAAGTGCGTATTGTGAGCTTATCTCTAGTTGTGTTTATTGTAAAGGCTCAAGGAGCAAACCGAAAAAAAGTGCAAGGTGAGGTGAGACATTTGACGTAACTGCACCTTTCAGCTTAATAATGTTTTGCCTGTAAAGTCCTTAAATTTTGATGTATAGACGACTGCATATTGTACAAATATTGACTGTTTAGAGTGGCGTATAGTACAATGTCTCCCTGGGTTATCGATGGATGGGTGGACTGTTCTGTTACCCGAAGCATGGCCGAGGAAAATGGAACGCTCAAAGGATCATCGAGGAATCAAGGGCCGGCCATGCCCCCCCCCCCAACGAACCCAATTTTTTTAAAGTGACGTCGCAATAAAGGCAGGCACTGCGTACACTACCATTGGTTAAAGTGGTCAGAAATTGCCTCAGATCGCACCACAGAGTCATTTTGCCCAACGTTGGTTAATTTTTTTTAACCAACCGTTGGGCTGTTCACCTGTTAAGCAAAAGTTGGTTAAAAGTTGTCTTTTTACCAAATACTGGTTAATTTACCCGATTGTAACCATCGTTGGGTAAATTGACTACTTTTAACCAACTGTTGCTTAACAGGTGAACAGCCCAACAAATTAACCAACGTTGGGCAAAAGTGCCCAACGTTGGGCAAATGTTGGGAAAAATTTGACAATTTTACACAACGTTGGTTAAAATTTTAACCAACCTTTTTAACCAACAAGGCTAGTTTTGCTACACCACGAGTTAAAGCAGTCAACATTTTCTGTTCATAACGCTTCAATTCACCCACAGGTTCTACTTGGCTTTGAGACGTGACCGATAAATTCAATCAAAATCCACAATATGAAATAGGTTGGAAATTTTCTTGCACATTTCCTAACTACAAGTTCAAATTGTTGAGCCCAAGATGTCTATGGTTTAGGGATTTCGATCGTAAGGATTGGACCGATTGGCTGCGGATGCCCAACAATCAGAAGAAAGTAGTTGTTTGTTATTAAAAGAAAAAAATATCTTATAAGATTTGAGGCTTTGCATGGTGGGGTATCGGTATCGTTTCGGTTTGCGGTAACACCATGTGGTCAGTGGCGTCACCAGACTTTTCAGTCTGGGGGGCACAGGGGGGGCACCAGCATTTGATGGGGGGGGGGCACTTAGGTGGATACGGATCGCCGTCCTGGGGGAGGGGTCTAAGGGGAGGGGGTGCCCCCCTCCCCTTTGGAAAATTTTCGCATACGGAGGATGGGCTAGATGCAAAATGGTGCCACATTTGATGCTAAATTCGATCTGAAGATATCTCCAGAAATTGCTATTTTTGAGGTAATGATTTTAACAACGCGCAGAATTTTGCAGAGGATAGGGGGCACCAGCATTTGATGGGGGGGGGGGGGGCACTTAGGTGGATACGGATCGCCGTCCTGGGGGAGGGGTCTAAGGGGAGGGGGTACCCCCCTCCCCTTTGGAAAATTTTCGCATACGGAGGATGGGCAAGATGCAAAATGGTGCCACATTTGATGCTAAATTCGATCTGAAGATATCTCCAGAAATTGCTATTTTTGAGGTAATGATTTTAACAACGTGCAGAATTTTGCAGAGGATAGGGGGGGGGGCACCAGCATTTGATGGGGGGCACTCGGGGGGCACTAGGTTTTCCAGGGGGGCACGTGCCCCCCCCCCCCCCGGCCCCCCCTTGGCGACGCCACTGCATGTGGTAATAACTACTGCTAAGCAGATATTAGTTCTGAAAAGAACTTGTCCTGCTTATTATCAACTTTGCTAAGTAGTTTTTTTTTCTGATAAGAACAGTCCTGCTGTAAGTTCTAAACGAACTTGTCTTTGGTCTCAACGTTTCGACTAGCCTGCTCTAGTCATCGTCAGCGAATTTTTTGGAATAATTAAAAAAGTACTTAAAGTGTACTCCAGAAACGTATTTTTCTCCCTCGAGGCCAAGGCTTTTAATGGTTTGACCACACTAGTAGCAGCCAATGTGGCATATGGAGTCGGCCATAGCTCCCCGGCCGCCGGTGATCTTAAACAGACTTGTTAAAAACCGGCCAAGCACACATTTTGTTCCCTTATTAATCTACGTCTGGCCAATCAGACATGAATAGCTATATTGTCTACTAAATATACGTCCAGTTTCTGTACATCTCTTAAAATCTCTTTTCCTGAAATCAAAAAACCGTAGATTCAGTTAGACACAATTATAAGAGATTACTACAAATCATTAGTAAGATCCGTTCTCTTTTGGTACAACACTGACGATAACACACGCGGAAAAATATAACTTGATAGACCACTTTGTTTTTTGCTCACGAAATATGAGGTTTCACAAAAATGACAATTTTAGCGTCTCGTTTGCGGAACACTGCGACGCAGTCTTTCCTGAATCGTTTGTTTGCCAGTCCGTAAATCAATGGATTAATGGCATTGTTGACGAATACCGTAAAAGACAGCCAGTTTAATGTAATGAAAAATGTACTCTCAAGTTCTGTGTTGCTACCTGTCAAATAAGCAATTTCCATAGCATTTTTAACCAGATCTGGTAGCCACGTCAGCAGGAATACCACAGTGGTAATGAAGAGCATTTTTGTTGTCTTACGCTGTAGGACTGTACCTACCACCCTTTTAGGTGCGAGACTTCTCCCAGTGTCCGATGCCTCACGGTGGTTCGTGTCCCCGCCCTTCATTCCATTCGGCAAATTCATCTTCCATTCGGCAAATTTGTCATTCCACTTAGCAAAATCACGTTCGCTTCGGTGTATAAATTCATCATTCCAACCAACCATGTTGAACGAAACTTTGCCTCATGAAATGATGATATGCCGAATGGAACGATGGATTTGACGAATAGAATGATGAATAATACGACGAAGCAAGTGAGCTATTTAAGGCAGCTTTAGCATAAACGAGCTGTTTCTATTTCTTGTGTAATAATCTACGTCTAATCAATCAGATGTTAACGTGAATATTGTCTGTTATATCTACGTCGTTATAACTCTATCATAGAAATCTCACATCCTAAAATCAATACACCGCAGATTTTAGTCGCAATTATAAGAGATGTCTTTAAATGATTAGAGTCAGTTCCTTTTTAGTGCAACACTGACTATGACACGGACAAAACGAAATAAACAATTTACAGACCACTTTGTTTTTGCTCACGAAATATGAGATTTCACAAAAAAAGAAAATTTTAGCGTCTCATTTTGCGAAACCACTGCTACGCAGTCTTTCCTGAATCGTTTGTTTGCCAGTCCATAAATCAATGGATTAATGGCATTGTTGATGAATATGGAAAAAGACAGCCAGTTCCATATATTGTAAAATGTACTCTCAGGATCTATGTTGCTACCTGCCAAATAAGCAATGTGTATTGCTTTAGCAATCAGATTTGGTAGCCACGTCAGCAGGAACACCACACTGGTAATGAAAAGCATTTTTGTTGTCTTACGCTGTAGGACGGCGCCGCCCGTCATTTTAGGGGCGTGTCTTCTCCCGGCGTCCGTTGCTTCACGGTGGTTCCTGTCCCCGCCCTCATGTCTACAGCCTTGCTCTGAAACTGCTTTAGAAACGCTTTCCGGTCCCGCTTTGGAATCTCGCTCGGCAGGATTCAAAAGATTTCCATTTGCATTTTGGGGAACTTCAAGAATGTCCCGCCTGGAAGTAGATGCATGATGAGTCGTACAGTTGGTGTTTGCCAGATTGATAACTGTCGACACCTCGTTGTCGACAATGGACGTATTAGCTTCGATTCTAACCGGAGCATCTGATGGCGGTTGTGTCGAACATTTGCTGTTGCATTCGGAACCGTTTCCCCTTTTCGCCATATGGTTATTGATAGCCGCACTCAGTTGATTTTTCTTTGGTAGAGCCGATTGTGCCGGTGGTATTTTTCGGTTTTTGTCGATCTTGGTAGCGACCTGATCATCTTGCGTTGATGTGCGTTCAGGGATGGCACCAACTTTCACATGTCTTCAGACTGCTGCGTAAACGTTTCCGTAACAAATCCCGATTGTTACAAGTGCTATTAACACAGTAATGTTTTCGACAACTGGCACAAGTAGGTCTATGCCTAACATGGGCGGGTACAGGTAATTTCTTATTCTTCCAGGAATACTAAATATTACCGAGAACAGCAAGATAACGAAAGCAGCTACCTTGGCCCGTCTTGGCGTGCAATACCGTCTTTGTGGCCGGCATATGCAGTCATAGCGATCTGCAGCAATCGCAGCGGTGATACCAAACGAAGCACCTATACCAATATCCCAAAGAGTCGTGATCAGCATACTGAAGTCTCTACCGTTGCCTCCACATTCGAGAGCAAGTCCCACAATGCTAATAGACAAGATAAGGCAAACGGACAGATCAGCCCAGGCTAAGGCCATGATCAGAACGTGGGTGCTGGTCTTTCGTGCCTTGGTCCAGTAGACACGCAGGATCAGACAGTTACCAGGTATTCCAAAGACAAATACCACGGCTTTAACAAACAACGTGATTGCAAGAATGCTAGTGTCACATGAGTTATCAGCCCTAGACATGGAAGGCGCGACACTGGTGTTGAGAGCTGACAGAATGGCCATTATAGAACTTGAAGTTCCCCTTAATGATAGAGGAGCCTTCAAGTACCACAAGCTATTCCAATAACTTTCCAAAACAGCAATGGGTATTGTAGGTTTCACATCATATGTTTCACCACACAGACTCTCGGGAAAAGAAATTCTTCGTCAAGATGCACAGGACGCAGCACATTTCATCACCGGAGGTAAATCGAATGACAGCACTCAGGTCCGATCTGCTTCCTTTAGACTGCTAATCATTAAACCTCACATCATTATCATCATCATGGGTGCTGTCACTCGCAGACGTTTTCCGTCCATTGTGATTCGTAGACAAATTGATGCCATGGTAACATAGCGCTTGCGTCTATGCGGCGTGTGGGGCATTGAGTTGGAAGAAAGATTATACTCGCCAGGAAGTACTTATATACACAAGAGTATTGACACAATTTAGGGCGTGACAGGGCCCAATATCCGGGGTAGCAAGTAACTTTGGGAACATTTCTTGGACAGCTCATTTATTGTTATTTTAATTCGGAGCGGGGGCGTGTCCTTACGCCCCTCCTTTTAGTGGTTCAACAAGTGGCCACTGGAACACAGCCAGTGGTAATATCGGTATAAACAAGACAAAACAAGCCTCGTAAATCTCGTACAATTGGCCACAAAATTATATTTAGTTGATTTAGATTGGCTATTCACTGGAAGTCAATTTTTATGTATCTATCTGGTCTGCACAATGGGCCGGATCTAGCCCATTCATTTTCATTACGGGTTGTCCAATACGATAGAATTCCCAGCTCACAAAGTGCGGCCAGGCAGCCAGTCAGTCGGGGAGTCAGTAGGGGAGTCAGTCAGTCAGTCGGGGGGGGGGGGGGGGGGTCAGTCAGTCAGTCAGTCAGCCGTGACAGTTGAAGAAAAAGGGGAAGAAATTGAAGAAAAAGGGGGGGGGGTGGAGGTTAGCCTCATGGTTAAAGGGTAACTCTAAGGTTAGGGATATGATTAGCTGTTAAAGATTAACGGATAGGGTTAGAGTTACCCTCTAACCGTGAGGCTAACCTCCACCCCCCCCCTTTTTCTTCAATTTTTTCCGGTCCCATCTAGAGTGCACTAGTGTCATCTTTGTACCTATTTATCTAATCATTGACAGACTGACCGACCAACCTTTGGGGTCCGGGTTGTGCTATTGTATTGGACTATACCCGTAATGCCAATGAATGGGCTAGGAGCCAATTCTCCTGTATAACGTCTGATATACCTAGGAATGCGTGACGTCATTTCATTCCGAAATCAGGACTAAGATTGTGATTGGTCGATTTCAATGCCGCGTTTTTGTAATACAACAACCTGTACGAAAATGTTACTCATCGTCGGCGTGATGTTTACGCACGCGGAGGGCTCGAATTAAGCGCGTACTGAAGGTACCTGTTGATTGGTCAGTTTCTGGAGGTTATACGCAGTCTAGGTGCATACTTAATCGCCCAATCTGTTTACGTATAATAGACCATGGTCGGTTTCGCCAGGGCCAGCGTCTATCACATAGACTATGTATAAACCAGCTAGCCACATAAAAAAAAACCTTTCTAGCCATTCTGAATCAATTGAATAAAATTCTGTGCTTACATAAACTAGGTTCACTGTGTTCCAGTTGCCAGGCATTCCTTAACGAGGAGGAGTTGTGCGGGACACGACCCCGCTCAGAATTAGAAGAAAAATGAACAATCCGACAAATATTGATGTCCCACAATTCCTTGCTATACCCTGGATGTTGGGCCGTCACGCTGTTGTGTCTCTAAAGTTGAACCGAGTGAATATTGTAGCGTGTAGCCTCGGGGTTGTTTACCACACAGTCAAAAAGAACAAACACAGGTAATATTCCTTTGAAATATGCTCTTTTATATTCCACAGAACTTTACAGCAATACGAAAACACTTCTCAACTCTCAACATTTGACTAACTAGTGGGAATTTCAACACACGACAAAAGTGTCCCGTGAACGGGTTTTACAGTCTGTGTATCAGGGGCCCCAGTCCGCGCCGTTGAAGGTGTATAGCGCCCTCAGTTGGGCGGTAGTCTCCGACGCTACAATATTCTTTTCTCCAATCATGTGCACGCGGCGGAGACGCAAGCTCCATGTTACCATGGCAACGATTTGTCTATGTCAGGCTTACTGATTAATAGTCGAGACAAGCACAAAGCAACTGTCAGTATGTGTGTTTGTTCAAGGCTTTCATTTGATTTACTGTCGTTGATGAAATGGGCTGCGTGCTGTGCACCCTATGAAGGAGCAATTGACTCCAATTGCTCTTTTCCCGAGAGTCTGTATGGTGAAGTATAAATTATGATGTGAAATCTATACAAGACAGTGGCTGTTTATTGGAATAGATCATGGTATTTAGAGGCTCCTCTTCCGGCAAGTGAACTTCAAGTTCTACAATGGCTAACCGTTCAGCTCCCAACGCCAGTATTGTGCCTTTAACACCTGGGGCTGATGGCCCATGCGACACAAGCATTCTTGCGTTCTCGTCGTTTGTTAGAGCCGTGGTGTTCGTATTTGGAGTACCTGGTAACTGTCTGATCCTGCGTGTGTATAGGACCAAGGCACGTAAGACCAGCACGCACGTTCTGATCATGGCCTTAGCCTGGGCTGATCTGTCCGTTTGCCTCATCTTGCCAATTGACATTGCGGGAACTGCTCTGGAATGTGGAGGCAACGATGAACTCATTTTGTGGGTGTTGGTTAAGACATTCGGGGGAATAGGTGTGGCTGCTTCATTTGGTATCACCGCTGTGATTGCTGCGGATCGCTATGACTGCATATGCCGGCCACAAAGGCGGTATTGCACGCCAAGACGGGCCAAGGTAGCTGTTTTCGTTGTGGTGCTAATCTCAGTTATATTAGGTATTCCCAAAGGCATCAGCGATTACCTGTACCCTCGGTCTGTGTTAAGCATAGACCTTATTGTGCCCATTTCTGAAACCATTGCTGTGTAAACTGCACTTGTAACAATCGTGCTGTGTTACGGAAACGTTTACGCAGCAATCTTAAGACATGTGAAAGTTGGTGCCATCCCTGAACGCACATCAACGCAAGATGATCAGGTCGCTACCAAGATCGACAAGGACCGAACAATACTATCGACACAATCCGCTCTACCAAGGAAAAATCAACTGAGTGCTATCAATAATCATATGGAGAAAAGGGGAAACGGTTCTGACCGCAACAGCAAATGTTCGACACAACCGCCATCAGATGCTCCGGTTAGAATCGAAGCTTATACGTCCGTTGTCGACAACGAGGTGTCGACGGTTATCAATCTGGCAAACACCAGCTGTTCGCCTCATCGTGCATTTACTTCAAGGCTGGACATTCTTGAGGTGCCCCAAAATGCAAATGGAAATCTTGTGAATCCTGCCAAGCGAGATTCCAAAGTGGGACCGGAAAGCGTTTCCCAAGCAGTTTCAGAGCAAGGCTGTAGTAAGGGCGGGGACACGAACCATCGTGAATCAACGGACACTGGGAAAAGACACGCCCCTAAAAGGGTGGTAGGTACAGTCCTACAGCGTAAGACAACAAAAATGCTCTTCATTACCACTGTGGTGTTCCTGCTGACGTGGCTACCAGATCTGGTTAAAAATGCTACGGAAATTGCTTATTTGACAGGTAGCAACACAGAACTTGAGAGTACATTTTCCATTACATTAAACTGGCTGTCTTTTACGGTATTTATCAACAATGCCATTAATCCATTGATTTACGGACTGGCAAACAAACGATTCAGGAAAGACTGCGTCGCAGTGTTCCGCAAAACGAGACGCTAAAATTGTCATTTTTGTGAAACCTCATATTTCGTGAGAAAAACAAAGTGGTCTATCAAATTTTTTTTCGCGTGTGTTATCGTCCGTGTTGTACCGAAAGAGAACGGACTCTTACTAATGATTTGGAGTTATCTCTTATAATTGTGTCTAACTGAATCTACGGTTTGTTGATTTCAGGAAAAGAGATTTCTATGAGATTTACAGAAACTGGACGTAGATTTAGTAGACAATATAGCTATTAATGTCTGATTGACCAGAGGTAGATTAATAAGGGAACAAAATGTGTGCTTGGCCGGTTTTAAATTAGTCTGTTTAAGATCACCGGCGGCCGGGGTAATGAACGCTGATAATATAGCCCGAGCCGAAGGCTCTCGACCAATATGAAAGGGTAAACTGTTTAAGAAATCGAAACAGCTCGTTTGTTTGGAACGCAAAAGCTGCCTTGAATAGCTCACTTGCTTCGTCAGATTCATCTTTGCATTCGCCATCATTCCTTGATGTCTTGAGGATTGAAAACAACAGTCACCGCAGCTTCATCGCCGGTTCTTGTATCAGAATTATTGGTTATGCCTGCCCTGCCGACTCAGGGACGTTCTACCCCAGGGAGTGAATAACATAAAGAGATAGTTCTTGTTACTGGGGCTGGTGATTGGCTAGCTATGAAATTCTGGGTCATGATGGTTCAACCGATTATTTAAAATGCTTGCACATGTTGTTAGCCTAATATTTGAATGTGGAACTTGTGTGATTTTTGTGACAGAGAAATTTCGGGGTAATAAAAAAATTACGCAAACTGTAGTGGAAAAAAGTACTTTGCTCTGCATTGAGGGTTTAATGGTTTTACCACACTCGTATCAGTCAATGTATAATATACAGTCGGGTATGTCTTACATTAAAATGACTCTACAGTTAAAACGTTAATAAGTTGCAATGAACGCAAAATGCCCCAGGCCCACCTTATTTTGCAATTTCTCCCCACTCTGTACCACATCTTCACGGGTGCGATGTAATTCCCCGCCCCTCCCCCCTTCGACCAACCCTTCTTTAAATGCCAAAACAAATATGGAGACAAATAGTCTCTCGTCTCAAATGCCTTAAAGTCTTGGAATCAAAGAAGAAAGGTGGATTGATAAATCGTCAGCATTATTGCAAACTCACAAGGAAAGCTGACGCACTCACTTATTATGGCAATATGTCAAGCACGCAAT